AAAAACAAATAGTTGAGTCTGTAAGCATATTGAACTGGTCTGTTATATATGTGCAAACTTAGTTACCTTTCTCCTGCAGAGAGGATATGAAGGACTCTAGCTTAACGAGTAGGTATTTCCCAATGCCACTATCGGTCACTTTCTTAGCAGAGAATCTAGCAAGAAGCAGGGGAAATTCAGGGGAAAGGTGGTTGATTAAGTATACCATAGCATGCATACAGGAGATTTATTGGGCACACACCTGTATAGACTCCTTTCCCCTCATACGGGTAGGGGCTGTAGTGGCCCTATTTCTTACTCATTCTTTTCTCTTCTCTGCTTATCCCACTGTCCCGCTGTGCTTGTTAAATTAAGTCCATTTGAAAAAGTTTCATAGCCAAAGGATGCCAGGTGAACTGATGATATGAGTTCTCCTGATCTTTAGAGGAGGCTCGAGCTTTTGAGGAGGCTCAGGCTGTCTTGGACGTCCTGACAAATATTTATCTGTAGTCATACAGCACTACATAGACCACAGCCTTCCATTGTGACTCTTAGCAATGCTTAAGAAGTTCACAGCTGGGAGAGATATTTTGATCTGAATTGTGAATCTGATCTTATCTTTAAAATAGCTGGATACCACACACAATATGTACTGAAATAACACGGCACAGTGAGCTGTGTTTAAAGTAAACATAGCTCAATTCAGGAAGCATCCTTGCTTTGGTTGGCTAAGGTTACAGCTTTTACATCATTTTATTAGACTTACTTTATTTTTTTCCTTCCCTCTTTTCATAACCATTCTGCCTGTAACACAATAAACCATTTTGTTTTTGTTTGAAGAAAAACAAACTTGAAACTGCCCGTAAAGCAAGGAAATCTAGACGTAGGGCTTTACCTCTGCAGCAAAGACATTCCACAGATCCTGCTGGTTATTGCACAGCCAGCACAAGAAGACCTTCAGTCTCAAATCTGTGGCAAGTGATATAGTTCCCTACTTAGGGAGCATTGCAGCTTAAGAGTCTGCAGGGCAAAGGGCTAAACAGCACAGCAAACAGATTTGCTGGAAAATCAGATTCACTGAACAATAAGATTCTTGGCATTTCCTCCTAATATTTTTATTCATGAAGCTTCAACCTAAACACAGTATAAAGTTTTCAAGGTGGTCTACTGTTGTGTGTCATCTTCTAGGCATGTTTACAAAAATACAAGGAGGTCAAAGAGTGAACCAGTGAACCAGCAGCTCGAATGGATTAGAAACCAAAATCCTCCTGGCTCCCAGTGTTCCACCCCAACTGTTAAACCATGCTGTCTTTTCTGGATGGTTCAGCTTCCTTTCTTTTCCTTTTGATAAGTATTTAAAAGACAAATGAAGAGGATTGTTGGGACTCTTTTACATACACAATATCCAAGAATCTGCCTTGGCTAAAAGTGCTCTTCCCCAGAAAGGATTTATACTAACTGTAGTGTGACAGTAGCCACTGAATTGCAAGCAGGCACCAAAACAACTGATACAGCACTCGCAGAGATGCACACCTAGCTCTCTGCCTTCAGTATGTATATGTGCATTTGCTTTTGCATGCTACAGCTGTTTACATGTATATGCAATTAGTCCTTTTTACTTACACAGGATTTGCTCTACTTTAACCAAAAGACTCGAACAACAAAATTAAAAGTATACCAAGCTCAATCTCATCTATAGTACAGAAATCACATGCTGGCAACTTCACTCAAGTCGAGTTCTAGTTCTCAGTTCTTATCTCCCAGGAAAACAAAGGCCAGCCTGAGCTGAGGATAGCTAACTCTGTGGGTCTGTTAAGTGAATTTTTAATCAACATCTCAACTCTCATATGCAGAGTAGAACTGCTTTCTAGAAAAGTTAATGCTCATTTCTGGCACAGACTGAGTTTCAGAGGGCTGAGTCCCAAACGGTCTCCTTTTTCTTTCCACTTCAAGGGCAGCAATGCTTTCCTTACCTTGCCCAGAAAAGCAAAGCAGGAAACACATCCATCTTCAAACAAAAGCCAAACTCAAGAAAAAGCACAGAATTACACATACAATTTCTTTTTGAAAAAAAAAAAAAAAAAAAAAAAAAAAAGATAAGATACAAAGAGAGCCGTGCAAATTAGGTGCTTCTGATAGTGGCAGGCACCTCAGCTTCCCAAGGTCTGAAGGAGTTCTGCTTTGCAGAAATACCCACACTGCACAGCAGTATGCAGTTAATCAGTCTCTGTTAACAGTGAATCCACAGAAATATACACATAGGTAAAAAAAAAATAAATGCTGCTCTGTTTTCAGCACTATCATTCAACTTACCTGTACTTTCTTGAGAATCTTTACTGCAAAGGCATACAGGAAATAGATATTTCCTAACGATACTTCAGTACACTCCCTACAGTCCCTTAATCTTGAAACTTCACAGGGTTTTCCCTGGAAATAAAATCTTATATCCATCCCAACTTGTTAGGTATCTGTTGGTTTACGTTGGCTTAAGTGATTTATTTCTAGTACCATTTTTTTTTAAGGGGAGTAAATGGAAGGTCAAAATCCAACGGACCAGAACTGCATCTTGCATTGATCTTTTTCACCATCTATATTTTCTCCTTTACTTCACATTATGCTGTTGTTAGGTTTCATCCTATTCAGATTGCATGCAACTAAATAAAATAACTGCTTGATACTAGCAAATATATATATCTATATGTATATATATATATGGGGTTACATAGCTATATCATTATTCACAAAGATGCTGAAGAAAGAGAAGTGTAGAGAAAGCATAGAAAAAACTCGTTACCTGTAGTGAGTCCCTTCTCTGCACTTGCCTGTAAGTGTTCCTACGGTTTCCTGTTGGCAACTTGGAGACCTTAAACTTTCATCATCCACCTGTGCTCAGAATTTAACTCTTTTTTTTTTTTTTCCTTGCCTGTTTTTCTGCTAATGTCATAAAGCTTCAGAATCTGAATAAAACAGCAAATTGTTGTTAGAAGTAGAGAAAAGATTGGATGTTTCCTCTTACACAATGCAGTCAGACCCTTGCTGACCTCACATGAAGTGCACTGGTACTAAGCAGTAAAGAGCTGTCACACTTCTGTGGAGGTAGGTGAGCCCAGTTTGCTACTGCCCTTGACCTTGTCTGTTGAAATTTACTCCCTTTCTTCTCCTAAGTGCTTCCTTTCTTACACATTAAGAGAAAAACATCTACTATTAAAAACCTTCCTGTTAACATTTCTGTATCTTTTTCTCAATAACCCAGTTCTCAGGAATAAGTTTTGAAATAACAAACAAGTTTTCCCCACTATATCACAGTTGGGTCGGTAGGTCAAACATATTACCTAATCAGCCCCTTTTACAAATAAGAACAACTTAAATGTGTAAAACCCCAACAATCTCTACAGAATGTTGCTCTTTCAGCAAAGTCTTTGAATATTCGGCAGTGTTACTTGATAGCTGCAGTTGGTAGAAATGAAGCAGCTGAAATGTGTTGCTTCAGTCACAGGATCAAAAAAGCTTCAATAAGCTAAAAGCATCAACATTTAATTACTGAAATATGTTGTGTAAAGCAGAAAAGGCCAAAACGCTGGAACTATTGCACTGCGTAGTTCACTCAGCAAAGCATACAGCTGGTCTGTAAAAAATGAGGAATGCACATGGCTTTTGGAATAGTTTAGAAAATCAGTTGTAAATCAGAACAGATTATTTATCTAGGAAAAAAGGAAGTTGAAAAGAATGAGTATAAATCAGAAGAATAAGGCAGATTAATCAACAAGTTATAGTCTCATCATTGGGAGATTGTACAGGACAGACGACTGCCTGATAATTGAACAACCAAAAGCAACTAATAATGTTGAATTATGAAAGTATTTGTACAGTATAGGGTTTTCCTTAAATCAGGTGAGACGCAGGAAAGCAGGTACAGAGGACAGCATGAGGAAGAAGACTTTTTCCTTTTTCTTTTTCCATACAAGAAAAAGAGACAATCTCAGAAAAACCTTAATTCTTTAACGAAAAGAGATAACTTCCAAATTCGAAGGCACTAAAAATCCATTACACATGAAGAATACCCTTGATTTCATTACTTGGATAGCGAGTGAAAAGTTTGTGGAGGGCACTGCTTCTTTGGTTTTGCATTTACATATTTTGCATTGCATATCAATTGCCACTGAAAGGTCTTGGAGCAGGTGTTAAATTCTAGTAAACTTAAAACAAAAAAAAACACTCCTGTAGAAGTCAACTATTCTCCAAACTACAAAAGTAGAGCCTCATGCTTTTCTAGGCCTACCATAGTCCAACATCCAGAATTCATGCACGCTGAATAGAACTTTAATGGGAGGAAATATTTTTATAGAAGGTTTCTCTCTCACCACATACTAGTAGTCATAATCTCAGTGGGATATGAAAGGCCATTCATTCCACAGAGGACACAATGTGCAATGCTCATCACAGATTACTTACACTTGAAAGAGAAGTATTCACTGTATCAGGCATCAAGTTAGGTTCACATCAAAAATGATCAGGCTTAGGTCTGTTCGTTATAAGATACTATGGTATTGTCAAAGAAAATGAAAGGCCTCTACAGCTAATAATTCAAGTAATTATTTTGTAATACACCAAAAGCTCTGATGTTGTACAGTGTTCTAGGAACTGTTTCAAATCCGTGGTTCTTCACATATTCTCCTATTTCCAGCTTTTATGGTTCAAGAGCCTTGATGATTTTGATCAAAAACTGCCATGAGATGAACTGAATAAAACACACTTCCTTGAACTATAACTAATACTTTTTGTAGCAATCAAGATCAAGCTACAATGTTTATCATACACAAAATGCAGGTCAGTGAATGGATGACGGTAGTTGCATTTTGGTAACAAATGATCTGACAAGTAAAAAAAGGCACTTCAAATACAGAGGTGACAAAGCATAACTTCCAGAACAGAATACAGTAGGATTGTCTGACTTCCTTGGAAAGACTCTTTAAATAAACCAGCCCAAATTACCAATGTGATCCACGTCAGAGAGCATCATGTATTGAAACATAACAAGAGATATTTTTATTTTTTTTTTGTGAATGAGTTGAAATTCCCTTTCCAATGTTTTAAAATTTTCTTTGACTTTAGTCATTTCATTAGAGGAAATGCCATTTCCAAGTCTAAAGGAAAAAGCAAAGGACAGTTCTTTTGATGATGACATAACAGGGAGTGGCAAGGTGTAACAGGCAGGATCTCTCCTGAAACCCTTTCAAGAGCATTACTGTTTCTCAGATAATTATATTCTTGTTCTATTTTAAACTTACACATCTTCCATATGAAATTCAGTTGTCATATTGAGCTAAATGCACCATACAAAGAACAGCAGGAGCTGTCTTACTCTTTATTTGAAGTGAATTTTTCTTTTACAGTTTAGTGTAACTGGAGGTAGCTGCAATATTATGTGATTTTCTCCCAGTGGTTTGAAATAATAGTTATCTATGAACATTAGGACAGAGTACCAGAACAGAACTGAACATTGGAATCAGTTGATTAAAGCTAAGTCTACACAAACATGTTAATGAAACATAAAATAAATCACAGCAGGTTATACAATGATTGTCAATACAGTATAGTGCAGATCTTCCTGGAAGAAGAGCTGTTTTGACCTTGCCAAAATAGTAAAGCTGATACTGCAGCAAAATTACACGATCATAACTACTCAGTTCCTGTTAGTTCCCATATATCTCAATCCATCAAAATCAATTTGAAGGGAATTATATGGCAACAGAGTCTGTAATCTGCTGTGTATTAATATATTTCTGATCTGCCAGGCAGGAGTTTCATTTCACATAATCATATGAAAATGGATGCTCCATTGTCAGAACTTTTGCCTTAAGCAAGGTTATCCGCCTTACTTTCAGAGCAGTTAAATTTGTCCTCTTCAGTAGATACTGCTGTGGGAGTAATGGAAGCTCCCAGGAACTCCAGGTTAAATATTTTTACAGTTACAATAACTAGTAGTGGGCACATTCACTGAAAAAGTGTTCAGTTATATGTAACTGGGGACAAATACTAATAACGAGAGGGAACATATCTATGGTTTATTAATAAAATAACATCGCAGTGCCTTTCCTTAAAATTATATTTTGCAAAGGAGCAAAAATGATGCAAGATAAACAACAAAAATATTTTTAGCAACAAAATGGAAAGCACTTTTAAAATTAAATCTGCAATGCTTTTTTTCTTTTTTAATTTCCCACAGTTTGTTCAACAGATGGATCATCCAAAATGCAGATATTTCTATAAATTGAAATACTAATATGTATCTGCATACATGGCCATACATTGCATTACATTACAAATAGATGCTCAAGAACAGGTTAGAAAGAAAAATCAGATTACACACTTTTGTTTCCTGGATGCAATTTCTTTTGTAGGACTCCTCAGAGACTTTAAGATTAGCCTGTCCTCTTGCCCTCAAATGAGCAGGCCTACAGTCCTGTGCGCCCCTTGCAGCATGGAGTCCATTTCAGGAAATGAAAAATGCCAAGTAGTAACTGACTTCATTCTCATCCCTCCCTCATATGGACAGAAAGCTTCCCAGACAGCTTACAAGAAAGTAGTAGGCAAGCCTCACTTGTCATGCACATGTGATGGCCCCTTTAAAGTCAACAGGCAGAATTAGCACTTGATCTTAACACATACACAATAAAACTTGCACTGTTTTTAAAATTAGAATGTACTTCCTGGCTCAGGAACAGTGAATCTGCTCTGTAATGCACAAAAATATATTCTTTTTCTTTTTGTTTTGTTAAAACCCAAATACAATATTCAGTATACATTTAGATATTTTACATATGAAACTGATTTATATAATTTTTGAAGCTTTACAAAGTAGTACTAAAGTAGTCAATAAAAAGATCAGATTTAAAATATTTACATTCTATACATCATTCCTTTGTACTTACAATTACTAAACAATTGTCCGTGGCTTCTTTAATTTTAGGGGAAAATATTTTAATAACTACAAGCTAATTTTAAATTACTTTCAAATGGCTCTTTACTTAAACTAAATTTTAGCAAAATCACATTTCCAATGTGAAACATTATCCCCGTGTTTTCAGTAGTAGTTATATATAACCAAGTTTTATAGCTGTTTTATAATGCAATCCTGTTTTCTATAATAAACAGAGGATATCTAAATAAGAAAATGGCACAGTATGAATGGAAACATTAAATTTGCAGGTCTTACATCCCTTTATGGCATTTGGCTTCTAGAATATTCAGTTTCTTGATAATTTAGGTTATTCTTCCACCAGTTTCAAGGAATCATAGATTCAATAGTTTAGTTTATTGTGTCATCATCTTTTGAAAAGTTATTTCCTGAAGGCACTTCACAGAGACTATCGCCATCCGTGCTGAACTCATCATCATCATCATCATCAAAATCAGTCAGCATTTTACTTGGTGACTTCTTTCGTCTACTGAAACAAAAATACACACCTGTGCTATTAAACTGCACATCTGTATGTAGAGCACTTTTGCAAAGCATATATCATTGACAGGTAGTGTTTGCTTTTTTTAAAGGATGTCAGAGACTTGTGCTTTTATAAAGGCAGTTTAACATAGACCATGTCTTACATAAAAAGAAACATGCAAGAGAATGAAGATCAGTCAATCATATTTTCAAGCAAGTCTAACTAAACTCACAGCTAGGGGAAACTGTACACTTTGCACATGGCAGTGTTCAGTGATGCCTGAAGAAAACTAAACACAGGATAGCTCTTCCTCCCAAACATCAGCAGGAAATTTTTGTCACTACAAATGACAGGAGTGCAAAGTCCTACTACTTTTTTCTACTTTTTATCCCATGCCTCAGTGACTATACAGCAGACAGACCCTGAAAGGAACTGGAGAAAGTCCATAGGATAAGGAAACATGGAAGAGTTTCACAGCTCTGCCTCAAACTCTGTCTGCTTGTAACAAACTTGAGGTCTGTTACAGGAAGCCTCCTGCTCGGGGACTAGCGGAGCAAGAGATCAAGTAGCAAGTAACACAAATTGTACTGTCTGCCAAATCATCCTACCTTAGTTCCTTCTTTGCAGCATTAAGTTGTCCTTGCAATTGTTCATTTATGTCTAGTTGCTCTTCCAGTTCTCTCTGAAGTTTCTTTTTAGCACTTTCCAGTCTGTCTATTTCTTCTTCAGCTTCTTCAACTTGACGTTTCATTGCTTTCAAACGCAAACTCAACTGAAATATTTACATGTCAGCTGATTAGAGGACTATTTTAATAAAGGAATTTTATTCTTCCAGCATCTATGAGAGGGAGAATAAAGACACAGCTTTGCCAGTGTAATGACACTGCAATAATATGCTTCAGAAATATTCAAAAGCCAACATTAAACTGAGAAAAGTTTTGATGGGATAGTTTTTGTTTGTTTGTATTACGAAAAAATAACAAGCAAATATTGCTGTGATAGAGTAAAACAGCAAGATGGCCAAGCAACTTTACCAGACAAATACTATAAAGAAATATAGAATTTTAAGCCCAGAGAATTTTACAAGATTGTTCCCACAACAGATGTCTGCTTTTTGAAACACACTGTTCATTCTCTAGGCATGATATTTACTACTTGACTCAAACACTGAAACAAAATATGTTTTAAGCAATGAATCAACAAAGACCACAGAAATGGCACAACACTTTGCTATGAGAATATCTCTATATACATAATACTTAGAGACTGTATGTAATAATAAATAGCTTCTTTCTTTAAACAAAATTTTATGGTTACAATATAGAATTTATAAATATAAATAAACAATATCATATAATATTTATATTGCATCCTATCACGTACAGATCATATACTGACTGCTATTGGCTTAATTTCTTAAAACAATTACAGTATTGCTTCTGTAAGTGCTTCATTTTCATAATCTTAGAAATTAGTAACTTAGTACTAGGCAAAAGAACATGATGACAATGGAAACTGCATATCTCATTAAATGGAACTTCATAAAGAACAGAATAATCAGTATCTACCTATATTCTTCTGAAATATCTTGTACATATGATGATTTATGCAAATATCTGATATTATTCCTAGTAGCATATTAGTCTTTCCCTCTACCTGGTCCTTTTGGTCAGTCAATGAGAGATGTTCATCATCTACTTGCAACATTAACTCCTTCACTTTTCTCTCAAGTCTGCGGTTATTTAGTTGGAAATTAGCCCTATCCCTGGAAAAACAAACAGCGGACAACCTTGTAAGAAAAGAAGCTGAAATACTTCCAATCCTGCCAAGATAACTTCTTAGCAATATTATAAGAGTTAAATAAACACTCATGACCGTTGCTTTAATTTACTGATGCCTTGCAATATTTAGATAAAGAATATATTCCTCCAAGATTAAACAATGAAGTGAATGTGACAACTGAAAATGCTCAACTATAGTTAGTATTTCTAAGTTTGTTACTGATATCAGACATTGATACAATAATGAGGTATGTAAAAACATTATCAGTGTGCAGTTTTAAATTTAATGCAATTTCTAGTCTGCTTTTTTTTTCCAAAAAGAAAACCTGCAACACTTACATGAAACAGTAACCACTTTGTTGTTTGTGAAAAAAAGTCAAATTAGTTGTATTAGATATAATATTAGCAAGAAGCCATATTAGAATACACAAACATACATGTTTTAATCTTAACAGAATAGCTTTACCTCTCTTCATTTTCAAGACGTTCTTCTAGCTCTGTGATCCTTGCTTCCATTTGAGCAACAAGTCCCTCTTTACTGGATCGGTAAGAACCTTCCAGGTGAAGGATTCGGCTCTTTAAGTCCTTGTTCTATAATTGGAACATATATGATTACTACATACTTGTTCATATTAAGAAATACCACCTTAACACAAAACAAATTGCTTCAGAAAAACAAAGTGATTATAAATTTTTTGATTTAGTGAATACAGAAGGAGAGCAAAGGAGATTTTACTGGAGGTCTAGGTAGCGAAGAGTCAACACATCCTCTATTTTATTGTTTTATTTAAAAGAGCTTAGTGCTAAGCTTGAGACAAAATGTTAGGCTTAAAGGGCCCCTTGAACCTTGATGGTTCTAACCCCCTTCCACTTGCATTGTTCATACGCTAATATTTTTCAAATAGTTTTAGACCCGTCTTATTTTCCAAGCTTAATTCTTTTTTCAGATCTTGTATTCCACACCTATTGTATGGATAAAACAAATAGACAAATAAATTATTTATATCCAATAGCACTTTACTGTATCAAATCTGCTCCTGTGTTGTTGTTGCTTTCCTTTCTATCCAATGTCTCTCCTACTAGCAAACTAGTTTAAAATATATACATATAATCTTTGAAAGGTGCAGGATTCATAAAAGCAGATTTTTTGCTCAGATTTGCACTTTAAATCTTTACAAGGCATGGGGGACCTAGCCCTGTTTTCAATGAGGATTTTATAAAGTCTCAAGGAAAAAGAAATAGGTACATGAAGACCAGAAAATAAAACTTTTTTTTTTTTTTTTAATATATATACAAACTTCAAACTATGATCTCAAATCTCAAACACTAAAAAGCTATAATAGAAAAGTCACAGATAAAAATAGAAATGTGCATGGGACATACCAGTAGGTGGCATTCTTTCTTCTCAATTAATTAAAATAGGATTTACTTCACAGAATTTAAGCCACCAAGTTAGGAATTTGGTATAAACATGTTCTGTTTGGTATAAACATATTCCCATTACAATCTGTTTTCTGTTCTTGAGACTGTCAAGTAAAACTATCACTTGCTAAGATACCCTTCCTCTCTATCTCCGCTGTAGGCTGTGATAGTCTTGCGTTCAAAGACCACTGAGCTGCAGAATAGACATATTGCAAAAAGCTAAGTACACTTTCCATCACAGATATTGAAACATATGAATTCTGTTCCTTCCTAGACAGAGAAGAGCAGTTCTCTATCAAATCTGTATCTTTTCTTTAAAAGGCATGCCACTTTTTCACTTGTTTGCTCTTAAGGAAAAAAAAGTATTCAGCCAAAGGTTTGCTTGAAATCACAATCTACCTTCAACAGTGTTTCTGAAGTACTGTTAAGAGGTTGAAGGACAGCTCCTCCAAAAGCAGTCAAAGAGTTGATAGTTAAATTGGATAAGTGTATTTCACATTCTACAGTTTTTTCTGCATCACATACTACAGTCTTTTCTGCATATGTTCTTTTTTAAAGTTTCTGTGTTGATAACACGTTTTTAATTTCACAAAAAAGTATACCAGACAACTGCCACATTTCCAGTTTTTAATTTCTTTGACCCTCAAATTTATAGACAGAATTTGTGCAGTAGGAAGATGCCTGTACTTACTGCAACACAAAGGTGTATTAGATTGCATAAATAGATGAATGTATAGTACAAGTCTTTAGTATATGAAATATATAAGCTGGGACAAACCTCAAACCAAAAAGGGGGTGTACAGAAAGAAGAAAGCATACTAAGGACAGAATTAATTTAGGATTATAATAGTTTCTTTTGAGCATCAATGCTAAGGTACTCATAGCTTTTAATCCATGCTTACTAACGCATACTTCCAGCAGTGCACTCTGGTGGGATAGTGCCAGCTACTGCATACTGCATTCTTTAAACACTTAGTTGAATTTCCTAATGAAGAAAGCCATCTGGTTTGTTATCTTGTTAATATGATGGTATGGCAGCCATAATTACCTGTCTTTCCAATGAAATTTTGTCACACTCCAAGTCTTGCTTTGTAGCTCTTTCCTGAAGTAGCTCTGTCCTCATTTGTTCAATCTATTGCAGAAAGAAAAGATGGAAATTTTAATAAAAGATTTAATTTATATATGTCTATACAATAATGTATATATATGCATGTATGTATATACTTACATATATATAAGTGCGTATATAAACCACATATATCTACACAAAGAGAAAAATGTTGCTCTTTCTTAGAAATCAAGACATATAACGATTTCAAATGAAGTTTACATTTACTATCTTAGACAAAAATTTTCCCCTTGGAGAAGCCTGTGTTATTCTTAGTTGTTTTTCTAGGCATCTTCCAGACATATGGGTTACTGCTGCTGATATACATGTACATACATTCATATATATAGATATATATATATATTATATACATACATACATACATGTATTCTGTAGCAGGGAACTCTAAAATCACAGAGACAAGTCATGTGGCAGGGTGCTAAATTCCAGAATGTCACATCAGTGTTCAAACACCTTCTACAATTGTTTTCCTCATACTTAAGTCTAAAGCACTGATTAGCATCTTACATTTAATCTGTTGACAAGTCTACTTTAAAGTTTGACCTTACTAAGCACATAAACTGGTATCCGCAGAAAAACTCTACAATTAGTTTTTCTATGCCTGTGTAAATGAATAAATTAAAAAAGCTTTTTCAATAGGCTCTGATGCACACCGGATATTAACATCTTTCCCCCCATTTAAATATTCAGTTGTATGTCTTGCATATAACAGGAAAGCACTGACTTCTGGGTCTGGTGGGTAAGTGTTGCTTGCTTATTTGTTTTAAAACAAACACCTTTTGCTACAGTTTCTGTAAATATTCCAGTTGCATATTCAATAACCAAAAGGAAAATATCTTCTCCCCATGTAAGATGATTAAAAAACCCTACCTGTTCCATACAGAACCAACATACAAATACAGAATTTGTTTGCTATATCTCACTTTTGACTTGACTGAAAAAAAAAATAATCTGAAGATCAGAAAGAAACTCTAAACTGCCTGACACCTGTTATTGAAACTTCTGGAGTAATGGAATAAGTCTGCAATGCTGAAATACTTTTTCTTCCCTCTCATTCCTGCTGAGATTGCCTTCAAGTCTTCACAAATGCCTTTGCAGGCACAGCTAATGTTACCAAGGCATTCGTGCTGTTCCTGCACAATGTTTACTACAGTATGTATCACCTGGGGAACTCAGTGAATGTCTGTGTCAGCTACTGTTACAAAAAAATTAGCCCAGATTTCAGTGGCCACATCATTCTACTCTAATTTACAACAGTTAGGTAGGAACTTGCATAAACACATCACCAATTAGATAGCATTAAATAACACATTTATTCCACTAAGCAAAAACAAAACAAAATAAAAAAAAAAGCAATGCTGAAAATATGAAGGTTAAATAAACAGAGCACACGAAATATTACCCTAGGCTATTAAAAACAAAAACAACAAAAATCCTGTAGTATTAAAAGGCATATCAACAAGTTTAAAAGAAGTAATTTACATTGCTTCTGTAGCTTTGAAACCAATATACGAATATAAATAATGGTGGTAATGCATGCAGTTGCATATGTTATGTCAGCATATTTTCAGAGCAGCAGAAGGCATTCCTGAAAACTAAGGTCATACCAGATACTGGGCTACAAATGTTAGCACATGGCTGTGCTCTGGCAACAGCTGGTTAATTTCCTAAAAGCTTTCATTGTTGCTCAGAAGCTGAGAGACACTGACTTCTCGTTTTCTTTAAATACACTAATTAAATATCAGCAAAGTTATTTGATGACAGAACACTTAAATCTTTACTCTCCTATGCTCTATGAAAGTATCTTTAAAGGGGCAATTATTGGATCAAGTAACTTACAGATAACATAAACCCATTTAGTTTAAACAAGGATTTCAAAAAGAGCCTTAGTCAATCTGCAAGAGCTGTGGTGATACGATCCAGCATTTCACTAATGGGAGAGAATGAGCACCAACAAATTCTGAAAGACTATTTCATGAATAAATGTTGCTCTTATACATTACTTATTCTGTGTGTGTGTTTATTATATATAGATAGATTAGATTACATTTGTAGGTAAACTCTCACATAAGAGCTTATTTCCAAATACATATATTACATTTTTCCATGTATATGTAGATGTAGACATATATACAGAAAAAAAAAAAAAGCAAACGTAAGGGATTTTATAGACATTTATTCTACTGAAACTGCTTTAGCCAATGAAGACAGATACAGAAAAAGTAAAGCAAAATTTGCAGTAAAGTGAATGACTAATTAAAAACTGAAGAAAGGGTTTTTGTTATACTTAGGAACTCATTTAATGGACCACTCTGAAGTTCTATTGCACTCTTACTGTGCTTGAAAGCTGTGACAAATTTGTGCAACCTTCCCCAGACCTCAAATTAAGGAATTATTTAGAGGACAATTATAATTCCAAGAAGATTGCTGCTGTTGTTGGACACATTATTTTAAAAGCAATCTCATGAAAAAACAGGGGTAGAGTACAAAAGCACTGTATCTGATTAGGATCACAAAGTTAGGTGGAAAAATATAAAAGAGCTTGTAAAAAGAGAAGAGGAACAGGACAGTTTTTGCTGGAGGAGATGGAAACTGTTTCCAGTCATCTCCTTGTACTTTTCTTTAGTAAACACATTATTAACAAGCACCAAGGAAAAATAGTTGTCTGCTACAATGAGCTCAAACATCTCACTTATTTCACAGCAGTTAAGACAGGCTCTAGTTATGCACCATGCAGAGCTTTGTGCTTCACGTTCTACCTTCAATATATTCTAATTATTTTAAAAGAATAAACTAGCTCTGTAGCTTAAGGCAACAGTTATCACAGCTGGATTTGAAGAATGCTAGCAACAAAGAATTGAGAGAAGCATCAGATACTACAAAGTTTTATTGAGACATAACAGCATTTTGTGCCAGCTTTAGGATTAGAAGCAGCTGTTAATTTCATTAACGTAATTTGATTTTTAATATTTTAGATTTTATTACCATCTCACACTTGGTTCACAGACTATGTTTCTTGTTAGTAGGAAAAAATAAAATATGTATATATATGTATATATATTAACCTAGTGTGTAAGCTCAGTTTGCAAGTATATAAAAAGTATTTAACAAAGAGGCTAAAGGCAAACAAAACCTTTTGATCCTTCATAATTGAAAAGCAACCTTCATTTCCCCTTTTTCATTTGTTTGCCTCCCACACCTGGTGCCAGCTAAGGAGCAGGTGTACAGCAAGCCATCCATGGGGAATGCTTTACTAAAAGAAAGTGGATGATCCAAGTCAATGCAACTTTATCTTCCTGAATTTGTTCTAAAATTGCCATGGAAACTAAATAGTCCATATCTCACACTTCCAGGAAACAACTCTGAAGTCGATAGATTCATGTTTGCATTTCCACAAAATACATTCATTGATGAGGCTATCTTTAGTGTTTTTCAATTCTGTTTGCAAAAACAAAATGGTATTTCATTTCACTTGTTTGTGGGCAAAAACATCAGGTATTAAGATGCGTTCTGTTTCTGCTCCTTTCAGACTCTAGCTTTCTATGCATGTTTGTTAATGCTGCTCTTTCTAGACCTGCTAATAACTTATTTAAAAACCAATAGGATATGATCCACCTTTCTTGAAAAATCTCTTATGTTAAAGACTTCCTCCCAGCAACAGAAAGGATCTAATGCTTTCTTCAGTAATGAGAAGGGTCCAAGAATAAGTTAAGACCGACTTCTACAAAGCTGAAGAAGATGCAACAGGGGATCAAGATGATGTTTCTGCAGTTACGATTTTTTTCAAAACGTAATAGCTACAAGATATTTAAGGTAAGATAAAGTTTTGCAATAAAAAGGACACTGAAGTATTGAAGACACGGATTAGAATTTTTATTTTCTTGGCATATTTCTTTTTAATATATTAGAGACTCACAGTGTTACTGTAAAGGACTAAAAGTTACTGAAAATCTCACCTTTAAGCTAAATCAATGCAGAAGTGAGCAAAGTTAGTGGCACTCACTCCAGAGAATTTTTAGTAAGAGTATTTATTCACAGAGGTAGATGGAGACCATTTCTTTTCCACAAGCACTTTCCTATCTTATATAAACAGATTACAGCTGAAGAACAGGATTCCTTGTCTATCAGCAATCTCATAAGAAAAGCAGAAAGATGGAATGATGAATCCAGATCAGATGTATTTTCAGTGAAGCTCATGGATTTTTTTAAAGCAAGAAACCAGTAAAAATTGAAGTTTCCACAACACTGTGGTACTTCTTGAGAATGAGGTAGGGAAGATGAGAACATCTCATGCAGCCATTCCCAGATTCAAAAGGGTATTTAAATTAAGAAAGGGAATAACATTTCACAGTAAATGAAATGTGAACCATTAGCCTTGGCAGTGTTTATTCAAATGTTTAGCTTTATGTAAAATATAAGTAGTCATTTCAATTTGTTTTTAGTAGAAATTTGAGTATTATACTTCATTATCAGTATATTAAAAATATATTTAAAATTGAAAAAAAGTTACAGAAACACAGTTATTACCAAAACAAATCCATTATCATTTCTCATGTCATTATAAATGCTTAGCAGACCCTGAAATACTCTTTAGTAATTTGACTACTTAGTCATTCTGGCATTAAATCAAAACAAAGCAACCTTTGTAACTCATGCATGAAATGAGAAACTCCAGACCTCAAAATAAACATTTATTTTACTCATTATGTAACGCGTTTGTCACCCATCTGTATTTTAGGTTTCTATTTAGCTAGCAAATTAAGTTACTATGGTACTCACTAGTGCAGCTATCAGTAAGATTCTTTTATCCCAGGCTTACAACACAGGCAAAAACTCTAGCATAAAAGACTTCCTAATTTAACAATAGCATGACCCGAGATTATTATGGGTCCTTCACGTTTTATTTCACTAACTGAGTCTGTACAACACCAGTGAAATAATATCAAAAGACTCTACTGCAGTCAAACAGAATCTCAGTAACCTGAGTCCCAACAGAGCAGTATGGGTGCCTCAGTGTTTCAAGGATGCACGAAAGGAACTATAACTAACTTTAAAACTCTGTCTCAGTGGAAGAAACAATTCCATTTAAAAGACTGAAACTAAGATGCTATTTTCCATTCTCCCTCTGAAATTGTAGCTATTCTGTAGAATTTCAGCAATTATTTTTTCTACAGAAAGAAAGAAAAATGAAAACAGAATAGACAATCATGGGTTGTACCTCAGTGCATATCGTCTCCCAGACTTCTAGGAAATCACTAATGAGATACATTAATACAAAGCTACAGTAACAGACATGCTCTAATGAGTTATGCATCAGTTTCATATCTTTTAGAATTACACTAAGCCACACTACATTTTCTAGGCCCTCATATATAGGCCCTGTACAGGCTCAGATTAAGTTTATCTTCTACTTTACAGTGCTCTAAGAAGGTTGAGCTAGCTCTATTTCAAAAATCGTGTGGGTAAAACACTACATACTTTTCAAAGAATGTACAGAATATGAATGTTTACAAGAATAAAAATAAGTCAGGGTTCTCTTTATGATATGAAATTACTTTTGTGGATGAATCCTGGGCAATTAATAACTCACGTGTTCCTTTTTTCCAGTTAAGAAAATAGGAAAAAATGTTTTGTGATGATATAGAGGAGTATATTTAATCATGTTTATGAATCTTGAACAATGTAAACTCATTTGAGTACCTGTTCTCTGCATCTACTGATCCTCTCAGACAACAAATCTGAATTATTCTTTTCTTCATCAAGCTCAAGTTCCAGGTGAGATAATTTGTCCTAAATGGAACAAAGAAAAGTAATTTCAACATGCTATTCTCCCATCCTCTTTGGATGGCTACCAGGCCATTCTTCCTTAAACTTTAAGGACTCAAAACTGTTTGAAAGAATAGACTTGAAAAGGAAAATGTCTCTGAAGAAAAGTACTGAATCTAGGAAAAAAAAAGATGGTAGTAGATAAGACTTTAAAAGAAAATTGTTTCTCTGACAGAAGCTCTCTCTCTATATATATAAATATAATTTTCTTAATCACTCCAAACTATTTCAAGAAAGTAAAAGCTTGTAATTAAAGACGTTTCTATTGACTGTTTTTAGACTTTTTAAGGTTTATCACACATTTGGAAGACAAATTTATTTCCATTAATCACAATGAGTAAAATGTATAAAAGCATTTGTTTATGAAAGTTAAACGACAGTTTAATTAACCTGAACAATTATGAACCTAACCCATAACAACACAATTAGAACAGCTATGTTATTTAGGCTCATGAAATGAATCAGCATTAAATGCTAAATAGAACTTATACTTCTAAAAACTTTTGAAGTTCTGAGGGGTCTATGAATGAAAATTTTAGAACTTTGCCTGATTAATGAAAATTAGTTTAAAAGCAATTTAAAGTAATGAAAGAACAAGTGCAATTTAGAACACATTATGCTATGATGAATTTGCTAACAGATCTCCTTCAGAATATACCAAAAAAATCCTGCATTACTACTTTATGAATTTTCCACAACATTATTTTGTTCCTTCTGACAGGATTCATATGAAATAACATTATTTTAATCAACTTTAATAAGGTCTTTTACCTCCATTAATTTGATTTGTCTTGCCCGATCGTCTTTTAAGTGGTTTTTGACCTCCAGTTCATATTCCAAGCCTTTTACAGTCTGTTCCAGCAGCTGAGTTTTTGTTATTGCTTCATCTTGAGCTCTCTGGTGGTCTCTCAAGTTTTCTTCCATGAGACGCATCTGAAACAAAAAGATATCACGGTAACCCGCTACGTACTACATTTTCAATAAACAAGCAATGCCAGTAAAGGGGACTGACTACAATCATGACAGATCCAGAAGTGTAATTGGAATTGCAACAAATGACATGCTTTTCACAGTAATTTTTGTTGTATCCACAAGATGGCACCAAGAAAATAAACATAGATTGAAGTAACAGTTCTAAAGAGATGTTTCAAACCACAGGTTTTACAGTCTTAATTCTGCATAGTGGTATATTTATTGATTTATTTATACCCAATTACAGCAAGCCCAAATTTTACAATTTTGTAAGTAGCTATATATTTGGAAATTTCGCAATACTATTTTTCTCCTTTTTAGACTACCAATATTTCATCTTTTAAATATGTAGTTTATTCTGTCTGAGGTATGTCAATGACAACATTAAACCAATGCCACAATTACTAACATACCTAGGTATGTTAGTTGTATCAGGGCTATTTGCTGAGAACAAAAGTTTATTATTCTAACAAGATCATGTACTCAATAAAGTTATCTGAAGTACCTTTATGGTACTTGAAAAAATGAAAGTAGTGGAAGAGTTTTTAGGTGAGACTGCATTCATTTCTTATTCTTGTAACTTAACAAGCAGCAATATTTTGTCCTGTATAGTTCTGATGATCTTTTAATCAAATAATGAAGGTTTCATTTTGTTGTGACCTTTTTTTCTTTGTAATGGGTCCTGTAGCTATAATAGAAAACACTAAAAGTACTTTTCATAATTGTTAATAGTGTGTATACATATATACATTCATATATATATATATTCACATACATATCTTTCAAGCTTTCATTTATTCAACTGAAGAGACATGTTCTCAATATCCCAATTTTATCTTTCACATTTCATTATGACTTTCCATCCTCTTACAAAAGCTCTCCATCACTGAATGGAATATATGCAGATGACAATAATATACAGGAACCACACTTTATTCTATAACTTCTGCTTCTTCTCTTACTGTTCTTTTAAGCTGAATTTCAAACAAGTTTGTTAAGGGGAGAGTAATATAGCTGCTGTTTTGTTGTGCTGTTTTTTTTGTTTGTTTTGTTTGGTTTTGTTTTGTTTTGTTTAATTAAAAACACGTCTATATTCCCAATTCCTTCAGTAACAGGCATTAAAAGAGCAGCAGGTCATCAATGGAATCCTTGTCATATCACTTAAAGACATTCATCCATTAAACATTGCAGTTATCTGTCATATCTAGGAAGCCATTTCCCTGGCAGCAACACACTGATCATCATTATGAAGAACAAAACACAAAAGCACATTGATTGAGATCAGTCCCTCCTGAGAAGTATACAAAAGTGTAGTAGCAAACGGTCATTGTCTTGAAAATTATCTGAGCAGAATTTTAGGTCAAAGGTTAAAATTTGTCACTGAACTTATGAGTCATTACCTCATCCTGCATTCTCATGGTTGTCAGGCGTGATTTTTCTACCTCAAGGTTTTTCTCTTTCAATTGTCTCTGCACATCTGCAAGTTCCCTGCGATTTTTCTCCTTGTATTCATCAAGCTGGCTCTGGAGCTCCAGGGTTGATGTTCTTGAGACCTCTACCACTTCAGCCATCTGAGAAAAATGTACACTTTTATTTTTCTCTCCTTAAAACAGAGCTACAAAAAGTTCTGTCATGATTAATACACCAAATGTTTTTAGTCTCCAGCTTCAAATAAACATTCACAAAGAAATGAACTGTATAGTCACACTTCAGCATATCAATGTTAAGCTGTATGATTTACACACAGATGGTAAGGCTCTAATATAATAAGGCTCTAAACTAAGGCTCTAATGCAGAAACAATTTGAAAATCAGCTGTCAGTCTCTGAAATACAGCTGACCAAGAACTGGCTTTGGTCTGTAGTATACATTAGATCTGTACGCAAATCTAGGATCTCGTTTTGACAAAACAGAACTGTTTTACAACAGCATTTTAAGATAAGTGTTCCAACTACCATTCCAGGCCCGCGAGCTTGTATCAATAGTTCCTAGGTTGAAGAGACTAATAGCAGCCTCTTCAAAATGAGCTCATACCTCTTCCTTTAACTTTTCAATGGTCTTGTTCAATTGCCATTGTTCATTTTCCATTTCACTCTTTATCTTCTTCAGCTGTTCCTTCTGGTGAATTTCATCTTTTAACTCTTGGATTAACTGCTGCCGTTCCTGTGAAATACATCGAATGTTCTCCTGCAGTAAATTAGAAGATACATATAATGAAAAAGGACCCTCTTTTTTATGGTTTTAAAGGAATATTATATAGCACTCCTGTGCAGCAGTAATACCACCTGCTCTTGTAACTTTAACACAAAGCTTAACTAAAAAAAAAAAAAAAAATGTTGGAACCCTCACTTCTTCATTCTCCCTTCATAATAAAATACCTTAATGGCCCTACTGTAAATAGAAACTACAAGATTAAGAAAGAGTTTGTTTTTTTATGAAGTCTGAGAGGTACAATTAAACTGACCGAAACCAGATTACAAATAGTTTAAATTGTTCCAATAGAAAAACGTAAATAATTAAAATCACTTTAAGTTATAAAAAGCATTCCAAAACACAGTTTTAAATCTTAGTTTTATTATTGGAAATTTAGAGTTTTGCTGAATATCTAATATTGATGGTGCTTACTTCAGGTAGCTTTACACTTTAAAAACCTTTAAATGTGCAAACACATTAGCATTTCTGTAGGCAAGATAGATCAGAATCACAAATAAAATTGTATTGTTATAAGACAAAAGAAAGTACATGATCAAACATTAAAAGTTAGAGATTTCTTTAAATCTGTTCTCTTTTTTACCTGCCTATATAACCTATTAACAAAGGCACCTCTGATACAAATAGGAATTAATGGCAGGGGCCTAAGGAGTGTATGCATAAAACTAAAACATGCTGGGGGCTAATAGATATTGTTTTACAAAGCCTAAACCTATGACTGAATTACTTTAGATTGCACCAAAGGATTTTAAGAACATTGAAAAGGTTGAACTTTAGCACTTTGGTTCTAAAAGCTGCTGAATTCTTGGGACTGGGCTAACGTGCCATATTAGAGGAGCAGGCTATAAAAACATCATGTGCCCCTCTCCATCAGCTTTTCACAGATCATTTAACTTTACTGTTTGTTTACACATCCTTGAGAAACAAGCCGGGCAGGCACAGATCAGTGAACTGTATTGCGGCAGAATAATGGTGCCAATGGGAAGTTTTTGCATTTGCAGTATGCTGAAAAGGCTTTAAACATCAGAGGTAATCTGATCAGTCTTTCTATTCCAGAGTTATGAAAAAAAAAAGTTACTTATATGAGAAAAAAAATTCTTCTACTAACTAGGGCAATTACCAAAGCATAGAACTGAATAATGACAATATTTTAAGAAAATAATAATTAGGAGGCTTGACATGAGCAGTGGGTCACCTCGATTTTCCTCAGGTCTTGCTAACTTTTGCCTGATTTCCAGATAATGTAGCAGACTGAGACTGAAATAATAGCTTTTTGTCTTTTGAGTTATACTCTGATGTCCTGAAAAGAAAAATTGTACTTCTCATGTATTGCATCTTCCCGTTTCCATCCTCATTCTATTTTCACTGCTTATTATTAAGAAGGATCAGAAAACAAATCTTAACTACATTACTAAAAATTAGAGAGTGCTATGAAGTTTTAATCATAATTATTCTAATAGAAAATGCAATTCCTAGATACCAGACCTATTCCAGGGAGACATTTCCATTTCACTGAGTTTGCTTTTAGTTAGTTCAACACTGAACTTACAGTAGCGACTCTGCTTCAGAACACCATGGGAATTGAATTTCAGGTGTCCAAGTTCTCATTTTCCCACATCTGTTGAAATCTCTCATGCCCACATCTATCCTGTAAATCATCATCTTATCTCTTGAGCCAGCTGATGTACCATAAAAATCACAGGACTAAGCATTTCCTGGACCCTGTAAAGAACCTGTCACCTTCCAGAATCTCCTTCTGGTAGACTACCTTTTTCAGTGACTGAAGAAAGCAAAAGCTTTTAGTGTACGTATTATTATATCTTGGTGTATGTATGTATTATCATTTCTTACCAAAGAGCAACAACTTTTCAACTTACATTCAAACGGTTTGTATGTGCACTCTGAGCACAATCACACTCCTTGGGAAAGTGTATAGTGGCTAACAGTTCTCTGGGCTTGATTAATTCTAGATGTGTGCGCACAGAAAGTTAGCGAGATGTCAGTGTAGAAAGCAATGGTGACTCAGGTAAATAGAAAATTGAAAATTTTAATATTTCATATTGCTCTTGCTCTTACCTGCATATCTTCTAGCTGGCTTTCCAAAGATCTTTTTAACACCACCAAATCTTTTGCCTCGTTTTCAGCATGTTTCAAAGCTTCTTCTAATTGTTGCTTCTCTTCCTGCAATTACATAATTTGATATAGTTAGATACATACAAGACCTCTAATCTGACATCTAAAGACAAACAGACAACCAGTATTACTTAACAAGTGCATATAAAACTACAAAACATTCAGTGGCTTCCTTATATGTCCCATTTACACTTCCCTACATGACAACAGGAGGGAGACTACTTTAGGGGGCTTGTTTTCTCAGCTTACCTCACACCTCTTTATTTTTTCCTTCACTGAACCTTCTTCTTCTTTCATATTATCAAATTGTTTATGCAACTCTTCATTTTTACTCTCTAGCTCATCAACTGTTCTTTTCAACTGTTCATTTTCCTTCATCAGCTCCTTCACTTGATTTTCTGTACTATTTCGCATCTCTTCTGCAGCGTTTCTTTCACTAGCAAGGACAGCAGCATTCTAGTGAAAACAAATTATGCAATGTTTTTAAAAAAGCAAAATTAATGAATGTTCTTTTCCGACAGAAGTTTCACATAGCACCAGAGTAGTTAGGATACAGCATTAAAACATTAAAGAATCAAAATTAAAACCTGTATAATGACAAAAATGTATTTTCAAGATCATTGTAGGAGAACACACAAGGAAGGTGTTTTTTTCCTCTGGCATGGCTACATGCTCAAGTAACCGTACCCAAACAATCTCATGCCTGCCATCGCATATTTTTACTTAAACTACTTCCTTATTGCCTTCAATTACTTTAATGATCACATCCCAGTGTTTAGTATTTACAAGTAATCTGAAAAACTCAAACAGACATCAAGAGGCATGACATGTGGGCCTTGAAGAAATAACATATTGATGAGGAGTGTCTCTCCCACAGCAGCACAAAATTCAGACAGTCTTGCACCATTGCCCATTCCAAACACAAATGTACAGCACTCTACATTCAGCTATATCTGGAGCTGCACAGTGAACCAGCTTTGGGAACAGAATCAACTTTAAGATACACATATGAACATGTATGCGTATATATGTATATAAATACACAAGTGTATTTATAAATAAAGAAATTATCTTGACTGAGATAAAAAGGTGGGTGCAGGTAGAGGTGTTACTGGAAGAAATTACCCAATCCATCTCAAAACATGGTTCCACAACAGGCAATGCCAGCACAGCACAGCAGACTGAGCAGGCACAAACAAGCAGCAGAGACTGGAAGTACCTTACAGCGGTGTTGATGCAGCTCTATCTGCATATCTTACAACCCACACTTGGGGCTATGCTTATTCAGTAGTTCTACTTGGTTTCCAGTCACTGCCTGAGGATGGAAGGAGTTTAGCTATTGAGTTCACCTTGTATTCAAACAGATACACTTCGTATATTATTTCAGAAACAGAAATAAATACACAACACAAAGACAAAATTAAACTAAACTACTTATCACAATTTATCACATGTAGCTACAGACTTGTTGGCAGGGCAACTGCCTAAAGTTGCAGCATGCAACTTCTCAGAGTTAATTATCACCTCTGTCTTACCACTTACCCACTCCTAAAACACACTCTCCCATTTAAGACTGTGCATTTCATTTGTTACTATTGTGGAAACTGTAAGTCAAGGTATGTATCTATATTGTCATGCTACACAGACCAGGCATGTACTTCTAAACCCCTAATTCTTTGCTCTTCATTGATTTATTAGTAAGAATCCCATTAAAAAAAAAATAAATAAATAAAATGTTTTTTTCCTTTTTGCTCTTGAGCTTTCAGAGTCTGATACAAAGTGGTGACTCCATACAAAGATCTGGTTCTTGTGTACAGGCTCATCACCTACTGCATTAAGACTATAAATAATAGTAAGAACACCAGACCAACCGTAAGACTCAGTCTAGACCAGTATTTTCTCCAGCAGTGGCCACAGTAGATGTTTACGGAAAAAATGAAACTATAAGTAGAACCATCACACACTCCTACATCTCATTTTTACCTACATGAATGCATCATCCATTAATTTCTCTCATCTTTTCTGAATCCATTTATAACTTTGGCCTCTACATTATCTGGTGATTAGGTAATTACACGTTAATTACCAAGGCATAGCATTTTTGCACGTGAAGTCATGTTTATCCGAGTGAAAACAAATCCTCCAGAGTAGCTTGGTAAGACACTACTTTGTGAAATATTTTAGGAAAGCATGAAAATCTCTTTTAGTTATGTTACTTTTGATTATAGGTCCTGATTCTCCCCTCCTCCCTTCCAAAGGGATAAGCAAAAATCTGTAAAAGGGTGTTTACAAAGTGTGCCCTCACTAGGTTGTTTTCTAGCAAGCAACAGCTTTAAAAACATGCAAATTAGTTTGATAAAGCAGCAACTCAGAAAACACTCAGACTGTCTACAGGGTCAATGAACTTACACAAAAACGGGCAGCATAAGCAGGCTGACAAGTTCTAGTCTTTCGAAAATACTGAAAAAACTTGTTCTTCCGAGTATATGACAGTTAAAAGGCTATGAAATAGGTTTCTGCTGATGCTTTAAGTTCTCACATCCTTTTCAATAGCATTTATATATTAATTTAATTTTTGCTTTTTGCATACAGCAAAGTTTTACTAATTAGCAAGCACTCTACCAGAGGCTCCTTTTTGTCTGATTTCCCCTTTCTGCAGCTGAGTGAAAGCAGCTGAGGCATGCTGGGGAGTTCAGGGAAAGGAATGTTGATTTGTCTGTTCTTTTTCATCCAAACGCCTACGCTGGGCTGTGCAACGAGAGGACTGCAGCAGACACATGCTGTACCTGATCTATCATACCCTCATCTACTCTGTTTTAATCTGATTTCCCAACACAGGAAGCATTATTTTCCTAGAAGTACACACACACACACAAAATAAATAAATAAAAACAGCCCCCTCAAATCTACATACATGCACATATATTTTTAACCTAAGAGGTTCAAAATTAATTTCAGCCTACACTGATACTGTGATATCTAGAGATCTTTTCCCCGTTTCTTGCTGTATGCACTGAGGATACCCACTAAAATTAAACTGAACTGGTATTCTTCCTCCTTTTTCATTATGTATTTCAGTAAATTCCCAAGATTATCCATAAGCCTCATATAAAATCCTGGAAACCAATTAGATATATGTGTAAAATCTAAAGTTTGAGCAGCCTGTGTGGCCAGTACTTAACCGGCACATCTCCACAGAACTCCAATGACCTTGGCATTATTACAAGGGTTACACTTTCACATGAACATACTATTCCCAAACAAACTCTGACATATTAATTACAAAATTCTTTTCTTTTACCCTGAAAGGGTATGTCTTGAAAGATACCAACAATAAATAAATAAATGCACACACATACTCTTTCAAAATGTTAGGAAAACTCTTAGTATATATGGGAGCTTTACTGCATTGTAGTCAGTGTCATTTTTCTTACATATCTTTCGGGGAAAGACATTTTCTTCAAAATTCAACTATCACAATACATTATTTTTCCAATATCTTTTCAAGTAGTTTCAGATAAGCCTGAGAAGGAAAACAGAAGCATTTACCCTATCCTATTTTTACCTTACACTACTGTACATGTAAGGCATGAAGCAGCACATTTGGGATAACATTCATTAACACGCTATTAAAAAATCGACAATAATAGCATTTTCAATTTGATAGTGAAATTTAAATGAAGTCAACCTACACAAATAGAATTTAGATGGTCTTTGAGTAGAAAATGCACATGTAGCACCAATTCTCCAAACTACAGATGGCTTTAGATATGAAAAAAAGCCTATGGCTATATCAACGAATTAAGCATGGGTGCCAACAGTAGTCACGAATTCAGAATTGTTATAATTAATATTTGGGGACATTGGTAAACTTTTGTCAATCATTTTAACTGGAGTTTATACAAATTAAGCCTATGGTAACAGAACAGAGTAAAGGTCAGAAAGTACTTATTTAAGGGCAAAATGAAACATTAACAAACGTATTGTTAATATAACACGATCTTTTGTTCACTGGATTGTGGATGACCCTCCTCAAGGAGCTGAAATGGGATTATGTATGTAAACACATGCAGAGCACAAAACAGATAAAACTGGTTAAGCAAGATTCTTCATGACAAAACCTGGAAGGAAATACTGTATATTCAGGAATATTCGCCATAAAAAAAAAAAAAAAAAAAAAAAAAAAAAAAAAAAGAGGAGTTGGAGGGTGTGAGAAGTATTGAAGTGAGTTTTTTGGATCTTAAAATTATCACATCTCAGATCCAAGATTAGTTTCTTCCTTATGTTATACTTATGTTATATAAAACATGCTTATGATTTCTTATTCCCCCTTACTAATTTTTGCAGTATGTTTTAATAAACAAATTTCTTACTAATAAGTGTAATATCATTACATTTATGTAAGATAAAAACTCTACAGCATTTTCATTGTGTTTGCTTGCCTGCATTTTCATCATCTTTCCTTCTAATTTGTCTATCCTCATTCAGTCTTTCAGGTCATTCAGTGTCTCCTACTCACTATGTTTAGGCTGTTTTGCACTCAGATCCCCACCTTTTCTGTCTTTGGAAGAACACCTTCATCTTAATACCCGTTACTTGTAGATTTCTTACACACATTCATACCTTCTTCTTATTCACATTTCTGAACGCATGAAACATTTTATTATACTTTCTCATTTTATTATGCTTTCTCAAACTGTAGTTTTATCATGTTTAAACTCATGATTTAAGACTGAGCAAGCCTTATCAGCAGATTTAAGCTAAAGACGTTAGGTAAAAAGTTGGAAACGGATTGCAGACTTCTGAGAAAAACTGGAAAGAAAAAGAGAAGAAGCCTATCTAGAAGAAAGTAAACAGTTGTAATGATGTCCCACAATGCAAAGTCCTCTGTGACTGCCTAAAGATAAACTACATCTGTATTATCATGATTATGGGCACTCAGCTTCTTTAAAAGAAGGATTTAAAGGAAGGAAGCTTGAGAGGTAAAAGAGATTTAAGTGGTAATGATTTGATTCTTACATCTAATATCACACAGTAGTGAATATAAATCACAAGCTACACATGCGGAGTGCAAAATCATATGAGGTATCAGAAAATACCTTGACTTCAATAAGACTTGACACCGTTTCCCACAGCATTCTCCTTGAGAAACTGGCTGCTCGTGGCTTGGACAGGTGTATGCTTCATTGGGTTAGAAACTGGCTGGATAGCCGGACCCAAAGAGTCGTGGTGAATGGAGTCAAATCCACCTGGAGGCCAGTCACTAGTGGAGTCCCCCAGGGCTCAGTACTGGGGCCAGTCCTCTTTTATATCTCTATCAATGATCTGGATGAGGGCATTGAGTGCACCCTCAGTAAGTTTGCAGATGACACCAAGTTAGGTGCGTGTGTCGATCTGCTCGAGGGTAGGAAGGCTCTGCAGGAGGATCTGGATAGGCTGCACCGATGGGCTGAGGT